AAGAGCTCAAACTCAAACTCACATTTGGTATGTTTTAATTTTTCTATACATTTGTAGAAATTGAGCATTAAGTTGTGTAATAGGTAGTTTTGATATGTTATTTAACTGTGCAATGTGTTTGATAGGTAGTTTAAATGATCAATACATTTTTTTAGATGTTGGATTCAACTGCATTTCTGCCATTTTCGTTCTTCTGAGTTATAGAACATTATGGAAACGCACTTCCACATTTTTACGGAATGCATACTTGAATTTGTTCAACGTTTTGATTTCTAAAATCTATAAATGCATTTTCGCGATTAGCCACTCTGTATTGTTTGGCTTTATTTTTGTTGTGTTTCATCTATATAATGCTTGTGTGGTTTAATTATAGGAATTATGGTTGATAACCAAGATATATTAAGGCACGACACAGTTGCGCATCATGCATCAGTTTGGAGGGAAAGAGCCAAAGCCTCGCAGGAACCTATTGGTTCTAGTTCGATTGATACCGATGCGTCAAATTACGGGGCACACGCATCTCCACCTTCGTCTTCCCGGAGGAGGAAGATGTCACCTTCTGATGCACCCTAGGGTTTTGGAGGAGGCCCGTTTGACTTATTGTTGTGGCCTCTATATTCAGACCATGTTGTCAAACATGTGTGGGATGAAGAGGTAAAATTAAATTGTATCAATTCTTTGAAACACATTTGTTATAATATTTAAAATTTCTTACGATGGTTTGTTTCTATGCAGACCTGTGATGCTTTAAAATGAATTAACCATGGTTGGAAGATTGTGAGTCTGCCGCAACCTCAGTATCAGTGGTTTCAGGATGTGTTGCAATTATTTGGGTTGTAAGACCTATGCAAGATCAGATATATTACGATTAACCATGGTATGATCTTCATGTTTGTTGGTAGATGAAATTCTATGGCATCATCTTTTCATCTTCCACATGGTGAGATGTCTATCACACTAGACGACGTATCATGTCTGCCGCATCTTCCAATCAGGGAAAGACTATTAGACTGCGACAAGATTATCATAAATGAGGCACTTGAGCTAATGGTGACATATCTGGGAGCTAACTCAAGGCTTGCCCGGAAGGAGATGGAAGCTACCCAAGGGTGTCATGCTAGGTTTCAATTCGTGGAGAGCATGTACACACAGCAGCTGACGGCGGAAAATGAGGTCGCTGGTGAGGATGAAGAAATTATGCAGCATATAACATACACATCGGGAGCATATTTATTGTACTTGGTTGGCACGTCCATTTTGTGGACAAGAGTTCCAGTTATGTGGATGTGTTTTACTTGAGATACTTCGCTTACTTGGAGCAGATTCGTGAGTACAACTGAGAGTCATTTGTTTGGTCTACTTGTACTCCAAATTAGCTAAAGATTGTATGTGAAATACAAAACAGATGACAGGTAGTTGCACACTATTGACGGTAATATATTTGCATCATTTACTATTTGTGTATCATTTTCGTAACACTCGTGTTATGCCATTACTAAAATTCATATGTACCATTTTCTGGCTTGGATACTCCAGCATTTTCCACGTATATCCGGTTGGTCATATATTCCGACCAACACTGAGGATATGCCCGGTGCTTGTGCATTCAGCACGCTCAGAGGAAATCAAGTGACAGAGCCCTTCAAAGTGTATCATGGCCGCATGGTAGCAGATGATATACACTTTTAGGCGTACTTAGATACTGTCAAACACGTCCCTTGGACGATATAGCCTTCTACACTTGATGGTTGGCCTATGGATCACGTCTGATGTATCCACATTTGTCTGAGCGCGTCATGTGGAAGTTATGCTAAATGTAGTTTGTTCGCAGACCCCCTCCCCCAGTTTCTGCTCGTCTTTATGGTATGTAGGCATGTAGATGCCATGTGTGATGATTACCTTAATCATTAGTACCAGATGACGCATGAGATACCCTAGCTCCTAGGGACTGGAGCACTGCGTACGGTTATGACGCCTGGTATTTTAGGGTCTCACATCCTTATATGACAACGAATGCTCCGGGAGATCCACCTAGGCCATCTCATCATAAGATACTATAGGAAGAGCAAGTTATGGATAAACATGTTAATGTGTTTCCTAGATGTCGACGTACCATGGATCTTACGTAGACATGTATAAACATATGAGTTTTTCCACCTCTGAGGGGAGGTACATTGTGGATGTCATCCTTTTTTAGGCATGGACGGTACTGTAGTATATGACACATCGTAGGAACATGGATATCCAACATACACAGTAGTGTAGTATTTGTATTAATATTTGTAGTAGTGTAGTACTTTATTATTATGAATGTATTATGAATTGATTTAATCATATATGGCATTTTTATTTTGTGCACTAAGTGTATGGTTGAATTTATAAAAAATGATTATGATAGTATATTTTTAATAAAAGGTATATTACATCAGTGTACTTCATAAAAATAAAATGACAATTTTTTGTCAGGGGGAATTACGGAAGTGCATCTTATTAACCTGATACGAAAATGCATATTCAAATCAATTTAAGACAAAATGAGTTTGTATTAGTTAGGAATGCATGGGTGTGTATATGGTTAATACGAAAATGCATCTCTGGATCAATTTAAGACAAAAAATGATGGTGTGGTTTATTAACACATGCATATGGTGTAAAAATGGTGTGTCCAAAAATGCATTTCTGGATTCTCAAGTGACATTTTTGAATTTCCTTAAGGTGTTTATCCACTACTTAGGGTAGGAGAAGCACCCCCTAAATTCTTTTACATTTTTTCAAATTATCTTCTGTATCAGCATGGTACTCTCTGTATTATTGTCTAATAGCATGCCACAAATCTCATCCTTATAATATAGGAATTGCTCATTAGACCCTTATATAAGCATACCATAACCTTGAAAATCTAAAATTGTCATTCATGCGTCCAGAGATGCATCTCTAGCTGCACCAAAATCACAACCAAAATGTGTTATTCTGAGATCTACCTCATTTGAATAAAATATGATACCGAGATACATCTTCGTATGGTATTTGGTGTATGCATCTCTAGCCGCACCAAAATCACAACCAAAATGTGTTATTTTGAGATCTACCTCATTTGAATAAAATATGATACCGAGATACATCTTCGTATGGTATTTGGTGTATTCGAAGATGCATCTCCAAATTGTCCCCTGAATGTTTTTGAGAGCGTTGGAAACACAAAGGGAGAATTATTTCAAAGATTCATCTCCAGAATTTTTCCTAAATCATAACAGAACATCACCATTGTCCAAACATTCCATTTTTGTGATACTAACTTATATTAACGTAAAATCAAAGGAAAATGCAGTTATGAAAGTTAAAAGGAAAGTAAAAATGCAATTATGAAAGTTAAAAGGAAAGTAAAAATGCATACATTAGTAAAAAAAAGTCATGAAAATTCATACATAACATTTGTCTGAAACTACAAAAAAAATACATCTCAATATAAACTACTGGGTATGTCTAACTGTTGGCCTCCTCGCCAGTACTGCACGACAATGTGCAACTCGGAATCCATGCTCTCCACTAAGGACAATTGTGCATTGTCATCCTCAAAGAGTCCTGATTATATGGTTGCTTTACCTATATCTGAATACACGACAACATACCGCCATCACGCTCTCTGCAAAAAAATTTATATATATACATCTCCATGCCAAACATGTCTAACAATATGATCTGCATAATTATAAAGTAAGAAGGTATCAAATGACCCTCCTGAATAAGTCTCTAATAGGCATCCTCCTGGGCTTCAAGGTCAACAGGAGTCTCAGAAACCTCATGTTTGCTGCAACATATGTCTGAGATGCGTGAGAAAGTCGCCTAGGAGAACCAGACGGTCCGGGCTGCAAAACAGATGCAACATCAAACAAGTTATTAACAACTTGTGACCTCGTGGTCCTCGTTGCAGTCCTCTCACATCGTACCAACGCAGTTTGGGAAAGACGTCTGAGCCTAATCTGTCAAGTACTATCTTCAATTATTGCACCTGTGTTTTAAATACATACAAATATAAACTGCATGTACAGAGAAAATTACAAATCTCACAAAATAACCCAATTTTTTTTGCCTTAGTCAAATCTGAAGAGGCATACCAAAAAATAATGCATAACAAATCTGGAGATGTATCTCCGAAAAAACTTGTGATTGTCTCAGCCATGGCAGATACGCCATTTATGCCTTAACATACCCAAAAAAACTCAATGCATGTTCTAATAGACTTTCAATTTTGTTTACACTACTATCTAATGTGCCTAAATAATGTATCCTAAAAAACATAAAAAGATAAGAAAGTTCGAAAAACTTACCCAAAAAAATTGATTGACGAGAAGGAGCAATAGGATGTTATAAGATGCTAGAAAAAGATCAAATGATATAAGCTTGATTTAATGAATGCATAGGCAAAATCGCTGCATAGCTCAAATGACGTTTTTTTAAAACTTTTGAGAAAAATGAAGAATGAGCAAGACAGAAGTGTCTGACGCGAGATACTAAAAAAAGCGTCTGGAGATATATTTCCAGACCACCCACTAACTTTTGAATAAAATGTGTTTACAGATATGTATCTTCGGATGCACTTTTTTCACATACAAAGATGTATCTCCAAATTAAATATTTACGTAAAAAGAGTGGCTCTTCAATTTGATCTGAAAAATGGCTAAAATATGTGGTCAGGAGATATAACTCATATACTATAAAGGTAGAAAGGACATCCCCTATAATATTAGGGTTATACAGCAAACGTTTTAGCACAAAATAATACTTTGTAAGCAACTTATGTAGATTCTTATAACACTCATTCAAAATAATACTTTCAAGCTACCAATTGAACATCAAAAACGCAAAAGCATGTGGTTGATTCGATCATGTTGATAGAAGTTACCTACTCGAACCATCTAACTGATTCTACTACAACTCTTCATTACAATAAAATCTTAATGTAAAACCTGAATGCTATAACTCACATATTAATCTCATCTTTACTTGTCAATCCAATCCTTGAATAGCAACATCATGTAAAGAGGAACGTTGACTGCTGCAATAATGGTCAGCATTCGCAGTGTGCGTAGTAATCTTTGGATTATAATTGTTGTCTTTGATTTGCCTGTTCTGGGAGGTATTCTTGCTAGAGGATCAAGCCCGGTGCTTGAAGCCATATCCATATTCATCGAGAAATCTGCTTCTTGACCGGTATTTTTTCTAGCAGTTGGCCGCATTACAACATTACCCCTGCTAGCAGATAAGAAAATCAGGAAGATGCATTAGTTTTATTTCTCCAATATTTAACAGAGTTGTTCCCTAATTAGATAAACAATTTATCATACAAGTGCTTTTGTATAATCTATTTTTAACCAATGATGACATTCAATAAGTTTACCTTTCTCCTAAGCTTCTTTCATTTGAATTTGAAGTGGATGCCTTCAAAGGTTTCTTTATAAGATGCATTGACCCTTCTGCATCCCACATCATCTCATATTCATAGTTGGCATCCTCGTCTTTCTCTTTTGTTTCATTTCTCGATACGATAGAAGCTATAAGTTGTTTAAAACGGCCCGCCAAGTTCCAACACTGATGCCAGAAACTTGTGCTGCTTGTTGGCCAAAATAGGAGGGCAAGAAGGGTAAAACCAAATAGCACAATATACCTGGAAATTACCGCAAAACATAAGAGCTATAGAGTTTAACCAAAATGCACTGTTGATGTAAATTAGGTTTACACTGACATCCAATATAATGCTACGTAGGTTCACTTTGTAACTGCAAAACGCTGGAGTCTCATTGGACTGCGTCGTGTAAAACTAGTTTACACTCACAATACATGTCTCCCTTTGTCTAGCAGAAAAGTTATATTAAAAGAAATCATAATTGGCATTTAGAATTACCACATATAAATGTGTAACTGCTTTGGAAGGTAACATAGATGAGTCAACAAAGGCTCTGCGGGAATGGAAGTATTTCGAAGAGTGGAGTTATCGACTGATAAGAGCATGAAAGAAGGATACCAATTTCCTTGTTGCCAACTTATAGTACCTAGAGTGTGCTGCATGCTACTGTCAGTTAAAGTGTTCAAAGTCAAACAATGAACAAGACTGTTCAAATGAGGAAAACCAGGTTCTTACCTCCTTTACAGGCCCGGATTTAGATTGATGAGTGACGGTGCATTGATCGTGATCATGGCCAGATAAAATAAGCTTCTGCCAATATCAAAAGTTCTAAAATAAAATTATAAGCTAAATGGCATACTATACACATGAAACACAAATTGTCGGCAGATTAACCGTGAATTATTTGTTCCCTCCGTTGATATCAGTGTGGAACAGCCATACAGAAAATTCCAAAGAGAAGGTAGATGACTTACAGGTTTGATATTATCGAGTAAATACTTCGATGACTTCTCAAAAACATAATTCTGATATCTGAATAGACCAAAAGTCAAACCAAATATCAGTATATATGAGCCACTTAAACAAGGTACATGCAAATTCCATGCCATGAGATGAGTAACTTACATTATATCATTACTTTTATCATATACAGCACGCTTTATCCTCTAAAAATTGAAGAGAGACTAATTAGTAGTTTCGAAAATGGCAACTCGCAGGCACGAATTTTTTAAAAAAATATTTTTTACAATAAATAAATAACTTACATTACAATAGAAAAAATTTAGATTTCAAAGACAATCCACGGCATGAAAATGTTTTACGGGTCAATGCCTCGTGAAATACAACATGATTACTATATCACTTCAAGAAACTGAAAAATAATCTTTACCTGGTTGATAATTGGGGAACTACGATCAGGGCCACAGTAAGTATCATACGGTCGATATAAGGGAATGTGTGTTAATAAGACTCTTGGACGAATTACATCATCTAGTAAAGTACAAAAGACTTGTGGATTATTACAGAACATATGGTCCAACCAAACAATGAATTAGATGCATAGGCCAGTTTATACCTACAGAGATATTCTTTACAAACTCCCAAACTTGAGAAGTCAGATGCTTTTGTGGGTGTCCTGTAGAAAACATAAAGAATTCAGTCATTTCAATTCAACTTATCAAAAACTCCCAAAGCAATGGCTAAAAACACAGCCCATAGTGTTCTTTTGCCACCATCAAAATCTACAATCTTTCTCTCATCATGACAATGGCAGTGGCCGGTGGGACCACTGTCGAGGACAGATCTGGGTTTTTATACAAGATGGTGAAATATTTATGAGGTGGCGGTTCACATCGATCTAAGCGGTCTGGACTTTGTTTGATTTTTATTTTCTTTCACATGCTCTTAGGTTGGGCGATGGACCTGATGGTGATGAGTGGTTTTGGGTGATTGTTATTGGCGGAGATTGCGGAAGAAGAATATGAGTGAGGGATGTTGATGCTGGAAAATAATGGTGGTGAATGGTATCATGATGTCTCTCAAAAACTCTCATCCATCTGTCTTTTTTCGTTCTTTCCTCTCAATGTTCATTGTTTATTTGAGAAACATGATAGCTCAAATATACAAGGAAAAACACAGTTTACCATCAAGGGTTTGCGCATCAACTGCAATAAAATCCACTTCTCCAACTGTAAATTTGTAGTTTCTAATCCCAAATGTTTCTTCATAGCGGCCGATAACCTACATGTATTTAATGATAAAAATGAGCAAAGACATGAAAAAAGGTACACGATTAAATAAAAAGTGCAAACAATAAACTTTTTCATCACATTCTATAAATTACAGATTATGAATGAGTTAAGCTAAACGGAACTGAAAAAACTTGAGTATAACCTCTTAACAAAGAATTGATAAGCTTAATATGCGACTTAAAGCTTGCTTTATGTGAACCACAATTAAAAAGAAAGATGTGTGAAATATTGCAGTGCCAAATGTCATTTTACAATGTTGTCAAAATCAACAACACATAGGGATAATATATGTAATCTTTTCATCCCTAAAGTCTTGAAAACAGTTATGACTCTAATATAACGGTGACTAGATTCTCAGCCGTGTATTTGGCTTTTGACTCCATCATAGCTACGTATTTTACATGCCATCGGAAGCAGCCTTTTTGCAACTTAAACATCAAAAGTTAAGCAATAAAATGTTGAAATACCTTTGGCTTTGCATAATGAAGACTTTCATAACCAATATCATGGTTTCCAGAAATGAAGTAAACTTGCTTGTCTTCGTATTTTCCTTGTGCATTCAAACCAAATATATGTTTAAAGCGGTTGAGAGACTCCTCCCATCTGTACACCCGAAAGAGTATAAATTTAGTCTATGACATGATAATTAAGCATATAATTTTTTAGTGCAATTCTCTATGGTGCTTCTTAGGATAATTTTTTAGGGATTCTTCATAAAACATGCATTGGTGCTGGAAATATCTATATATTCCATTCTTCTGACCTTATTGTAAAAAATAAAAATAAAAACTTGGAAACAAATAAAATAGACACCTTACTCATAAGCACTTACATTAGTATTTAACTTCTTTTATGTCCATAAGTTGTTTTTGACTTATTTCACTAGGATTTTTGTAATAGCTCATGAATAAGTGCTTATCTAAGCTCCCTAGAATAGCTTATTACTAAATAAACACTTATCTAAATTGTTTACAAAATGCACCCTTAAGAATTTACCAAAATCATCCTCGGCTGAGAAGTAGAATTGGAATCATTTCACATGGCACAATAGATAATACAACAAAACTTGTAGAAAGCCAAATCACAAATTGATATTTGTTTTCAGGACTTACTCTTCATCAGATAAATAAGGACCTCCATCAAAGTAATCGCCTAAAAACAATATGACATCAGGTTTGAAACGAAGGATAGATGAAAAGAATGATCTCCTCATGTTTAAATCGGTGTAGAATTTAACAAGCTCTAGTGCAAGAGATTTCTCAGGAAGACGGAGAGAAGTTTTATCCATGAGCTATTATGTTTAAAAAAAAACATATCAGAAGATTAGATACACATCAACAAAAACATGCCTTAATAGGTTTGCATTAACAAGCATATAGAATGCAAGTAAATTTGTCATTAACATATGAGATTAACTTTTGATGGACTATCATAGTAAAATATTTTACACTGTCAACCAATCACAAACCATCATTTGTATTACTGAAATCAAATATTTTTAATGATCGAGCAGTTAAGATTGATTTACAAAATATGCGCAAATATTGTAATGTGTATGACATAATAACATAATCAAAGTAGTATAAAAGTTCACCTGTGGATCTGCAATAACAGCAACTTTTACATAATCATTTTGGTAGCCATCATTCTTTGTTTGAATCTGCTAACAAAAAATTCAGAAAATCAGCTATGCATTTTACTAAATTTAAAATATAAAATTGTAATTGTTGGGGGAATCCAAGGAACGCCAGAAGTGTCAATAGACTAAACGTTCAAAATCCAAGAGACCTTGACACCACATATCCACCCAAAAGGCGATGTGAGACTTAACCACTCACACTTGCACCCAATAATCTCCCTCCCTCACGAGTGCGAGTCAGACATCCTATAAGAGGATTCAGCTCTCGCTCCCCCACCAAGGTGACATCATATATTTATCCAAAACCTTAAGGCATGTAGGACTTAGCCACTCATTTGCACCCAACCTTAATGTACAAAAAGCCAAGCTCTTCAATATCCCACAAAACCCCATAAATAAATTTCCAACAAAATCAAAAACCTATAGATCCAATCCACCACATATCCCTCTAACTAAAAACTCAATTTTGAATTTAAGCAATTGGCAGCTACCAAAATGTACAAAATTCCATAAACTAGAAAACAAAAACCTAAGACTGACCCAGAAACGAAGGAAGTGAAAAGATGAAGAATTTAAGCTTACCTTCAAATGGGGCCAAGAACAGGTGAAGAGAGATGGAAGCCAGTAAGCGAACATTTCACCATAAAGGACTGTTAGTGCCCATGTGAGGCAGAGCAGTAAAGTCAACTCCTTCTGCTTCATCACTGATCTTCCTTCAAGGATGAAATCAAACCAGTGGGTTGTTCATGAAGGGGTTGAATGCTACACTTTCCTACAAAATTCGGCAACATCGGTTCTATTATTGCAGTAGCGGTAACTTTTTATATAAGCATTTTTTTTATACTTGTTTTTACTCTTTTTGACAAATTTGTTTATTTTAGAATTTGAGCTTAAATGCATTTTTATCATATTTTCAAAAATAAAATGAAGTTTTTGTCATTTATTTTAATTTTAATTTTTTTATTTATTTATAAAAACCATACTAAACATTTTCTAACTCTCTTTCTAAACCTCTCCTCAAGGAAATCTCCTCCTGATTCATATACATGTTATTTCAATTTCATCAGGCCAATTGTCATTACTTTAGGTCAGGTCCAGTAAAACATGTCATAGAAGCAACTTTCCATCTTGACCCAAGTTTATATCAACTTTGGTGGGATAGAAAAATACCACAGTAACATTGTTTGTGTCAACAATAAAAGAAACATTTTAAAACTTATTATGATTTTTCTCACCACATTCACTACAATAAATAATGTTGTTCATTACAAAATTTTCACCTCGAGCAATAGAAAATTCAGGTATAAATCTAAAGCGCGCTATTTTTTATTATTTAAAGAAATTAAAAAAAAATATAAATTCTTTTGATTTTTAATAAAACCGATGTGAAAAAACAACTCAGTACAAGTTTCGATTTCCAGCTATCGCAATTTATGATTTTTCTTGTTTATAAGTGTAAACAAAATGTTCTAACCCTTCAATTTTCTATTTAACTGAAACATACAATAATAATATTTTACTATAAAATCACTCGTTTAACCGATTTTACCTTTAATTCTACTAATATGAAGCCGCCCCAAACATCATTTTTTGGGATGGATTACAAGACAGAAAAAATCGTCAATGTTCTTCTATATTGAACAAAACATTTTTTTGCCCTTGCAATCTACCTCGCCTAATGGTGTTGATGTTGTCGTTGTTGTATTTTTTGAAATAACCCTCAGTTGAAGAAGGGTAACCCGTTGATAGATTGCAAGTGCAGAAAATCATTCTTGCTTCAAGTTAATTAAATAGTGGAGTTTAACTAACAATGAAGGGAGCTCAACCTTTGAAAAGAGCTCAGTTGATAGATTGCAAGGGCAGAAAATTATTCCTCTTTCAAATTAAACAACGATTGGAGCTTAACCAACAAAGAAGAAAGCTCAACCTTTGAAGAGTACTCACTTGATATATTGCAACGGCAGAAAAGCATTCTTGTTTCAAAAATATATGTTTTAATGAGTATCCAACCAAATCTGGATATCACCAAAGATTTGTTGTTAACAATGTTTTTTAATATTTTGTGTTAGTAATGTATTTAAAAAAATGAAATAGTCACTTAATTTTTTTAAAAACGAGGTGATAGTTAATAAAACACCTCGGTTTTATAGTAAGACCGAGGTGGTTAGTAATCATATTTTATTATCATCCATTTCTATTATGAGTTGCTACTACAGATCTCTAGGATGAATTGCAAGTGCAAAAAATAAAAAATTTCATTGGAAAATAGATCTCTAGCATCTTGCATTGGACCTGGACATGTAAAATAAAATTTCTCATTGGGAAACAAATTTTATAATGTGTTTTTAATATTCTATATAAACAATGTATTTAAAAAAACAGCTTATTCACCTCGGGTTTTTTCTTGGCCGAGGAGATAGTTAAGTGTTTTTTGATATATTCAACGCCCTTAAACAAATCTTTGTCGTCCATTTAATGTTTATCAACGCTCATGAATCTATCATTAGTGATCTGTGTAAAACCTAAGGGACATCAGTTATAAAAGCTTTATGAATATTGAAAATCTAACCTACATGAAACATGAAGCGATACATAAAGACACTTGGAAAAGTTCTATAAGATGGATTGCAAGAGCATAAAATTACTTGGGTTTAAGGTTTGTTTTCTTAAATATTTATTTGCGCACAAAATTATATATTTGAATATTGATTTTATTGTTAAATATAATTCATTGTGATTTGATATGATTAGATTTGATACCATATGATTAATTTGATATCATATGATTAATTTGATATGATATGATTAGATTTGATATCATATGATTAGATTTGATTTAGAATATTTTGGGCCTTTTATGTTTTGGGCTAGTGTAAACCTAAAACTATAAATAGGGTGTCTTGCTTTGTATTCTACATCACAACAGAACAGATTTCACAGTTGCAGTTAGCAAGTGAAAGTTCAATAAGAAATCCCACAGTTGTGGTGGGTTTGTTCATCAATCTTGAGATCAAGATTGAAGGGAATTCTTCATAGGGTGTGAGGTGAATTTCCAACATCTGGTATCTAGAGCTCCGGTTAAGAGATTCAAGGAAGGAAGATAGTGATGGCGATGAACTATCCGAACGGCAATTTTCCGACGACCCTGCCAATTCTCATGAAAGACAATTATGAGAATTGGTGCAAGCAGGTTAAAGTGATTTTCTGTTATCAACATCTTTGGGATCTTGTGAAGGACGGAGTGACGCCGCTTGTGGAGAATGCAACAGAGGCAGAAAAGGCTGCGCACAAAGAATTGAAGAAGAAGGATTATAAAGCACTCTTTATAATTCATCAGTGTGTTGATCCTGATAACTTTGAAAAGGTTAGTGATGTTGATTCAGTAAAAGAAGCATGTGAGATTCTTGAAAAGTCGTTTGGAGGCGCAGAGAAGGTGAAAGAGGTGAGGTTACAAACTCACAAGAGAACCTATGAGTTGCTTCAGATGGAAGACAACGAAAGCATTACAGATTTCTTCACCAGAGTTACAAGGTTGGTGAATCAAATCAAAGTATGTGGAGAAACGCTGACGACGAAAGCAGTTGTCTCAAAGATTTTGAGATCGTTGGCTCCAAAATTCGACCACGTGGTAGTTGCCATAGAAGAGTCGAAAGATCTGTCAGTGTTGACGAAGGAAGAGCTTCAAGGGACTCTTGAGTCTCATGAACAGAGGATGGCTGAGAGAGCTGCAGGAAAGTCGAAAGATATGGCTTTGCAGGCACAGACGGAAAAGGAGAGAAAAGGAAAAGGTAGCTAGAATGGAAACAAAGGAGGAAACCAGTCGAATCAAAAGAAACCTTGGAACCAAGGCAACCAAAGAGGTGGTGCTGCAGGTAAAGGAAGAGGTGGTGATCGAAAGACAGACAAAAGCCACATTCAATGTTTCAATTTCCAGAAGTATGGTCATTATGTTAGTGATTGTCCAGAAAAGAAGAGAAATCAAGAGACTGATGCAAAGCTGGTGAAACATGAAGAAGAAGAAACGTTGCTAATGGTCACAACAAACGATGAAGAAAGATTCCAAGATCAGTGGTACTTGGACTCAGGATGCTCATCACACATGACTGGAAGGAAAGATTGGTTTGTCAACATGAAGCCCTCGTCAAAGAATACGGTGAAGTTTGCAAATGACAACACTCTAGCAGCTGAAGGTGTTGGTGATGTTCTGATTATGAGGAAAGATGGCAAAAGGTCAACAATTTCCAATGTGTTGTACATACCAGGCATGAAGAGTAATTTGCTCAGTATAGGGCAGCTTGTCGAAAAGAACTACAAGGTAGTTGTCGAAGACAAGATGATGAGAGTCCTCGACGCAGGTGGTAGACTAATCTTAAAGGCTCCAATGTCTCAGAATAGGACCTTCAAGATTGGACTCAATGTGATGGAGCACAAGTGTTTAGCAACTGCAGCCACTGAAGTCGAAATAGAAGTTCGACAGGAACCAGTTGCAGATGAAGCAAGTTCAAGCAGACCTCGACGAACTAGACACATGCCTGCAAGGTTGCAAGAATGTGTAATCACATCAGATGATGTAGTCGATGAAGAGGGTGAGCTGGTACGTTATACTTTCTACGCAGATGTCGAACCAGTCAATGCAGCTGAGGCATTGAAAGATTCGAAGTGGGTGAAAGCAATGATTGAAGAGTTAGAGTCCATCAAAGTCAATGATACCTGGTCACTTGTCGAATTGCCGCAAGGCAAGAAGGCAATTGATGTGAGGTGGGTTTACAAGGTGAAGGTAAATCCTAAAGGAGAAGTAACTCGACACAAAGCGAGACTTGTGGCGAAAGGATTTCTTCAGAAGGAAGGAATCGACTTCGATGAAGTATTCACACCTGTTGCTAGAATTGAAACAATCAGGTTGGTTGTTGGTGTAGCAAATATGAACAACTGGCACACATGTCAGATGGACGTGAAGTGTGCATTCCTTAATGGCCCCTTAGAAGAAGAAGTTTATGTTGCACAACCAGCTGAGTTTGTGATACAAGGCGAAGAAAGAAAGGTGTACAGGCTTCATAAAGCCCTGTATGGACTTAAGCAAGCTCCAAGAGCTTGGAATAAGAAAATTGACAGCTTCTTAAGGGAGAAAGAATTTGTGAAGTGTACAACTGAGCATGGAGTATATGTAAGAAGAAGCAATGGCGAATTGCTTATACTATGTCTCTATGTTGATGATTTGTTGATAACAGGGAGTTCCAAGAAGGAGATCGAAGATTTCAAACATGACCTGAGTAAGGAGTTTGAAATGTCAGACTTGGGAAATCTCTCATATTTCCTTGGCATCGAATTCTACAAGACAAGTAGAGGTTTGATGATGCACCAAAGAAGATATGCAGGCGAGATACTCAAGAGATTTGAGATGCAAGATTGCAACCAAACTTCGACTCCAACTGAGCCCAGATTGCAACTGTCGAAGGATTCAGATAAAGATGATGTCGACCCAACCCAATACAAAAAACTTATTGGGTCACTTAGATACCTTTGCCACACAAGGTCTGGCTTAGCATACAGTGTTGGTATGATAAGTAGATTCATGCAGAAACCAAAGGTATCACACCTAGCAGCGGCGAAGAGGATACTGAGGTATCTGAAAGGAACTCTCAACTATGACATTTTGTTTCCAGCAGCTGATGAAGGAAAAGAATGCAAGTTAGTGGGACACA